CCTTCTTGTCCACACTCAAAACATCTCTTTGGTTTTGGCTTTGGCTTTGATTGTTGTTGTTGAACTTGAGCCTTTCTTCTTCTCTACACTTGCCACATATCCAATGCCACTTCTATCCATCTTCATGATGGTGTTCATGAGTAGCTCACTTTGAAGATGCTTTCCTCTTGCAAACTTGCTCAATCCCATCTTGAGATACTCTTTCTTCATCTTGAACTTCTTGTTCTCTTCTTTGAGAACATCATTGTTCTTCTCTTTCTTGAGCTTCTTGTTCTCTTCTTTGAGCTTCTCATTCTCAAGGATCAACTCTTCATCATGATCAAGATTTTCTAGCACAATGGTGTTGTGGCTTTTTATCTCTTCAAGATCTTTCATGAGCTTTTTATTTGTATTATTGAGCTTGACATATTCATCATAGTCATTGCACTCAACCACTTTCTTGCCTTTGCCACTAGATCCTTGCTCAATGCTCTCATCAATTAAATCATCACATGATGTGGCTATATCAATCTTAACAACATGGTTAGTGGCATCATGTGGCTCATTTGGTAAAAATTCTTGAGCAATAACAAGAGTATCATGATTGATCTTAAGAGTAGTGTATTCATCTTTTAGCTTGTTGTGGCTAGTGATGAGCTTATTGTGCACCCACTCAAGTTTATCATGTTTATCTTTAAGCTCTTTCTTAGAAGATTTGAGCTCCTTGAGTTTGGATGATATAGCATCATTTGTTTCTTTAAGCTCAACATTAGCCTTTTCTAATGTATCGCATTTAGCTAAGAGTGAATCACTTTTAGCATCAAGCTTTTCATTCTTAGCTCTACTTTTTCTAATGATCTTAGTGTATTTTCTTGGTATTTTGACAAGATCATCATATGAAGGTGAATCATCATCATCACTATCGCTATCATCATCACTAGCTTGCTCATCATCACTGCTATCGTCATTATTAGTTACCTTGCGTTCACCTTTGGCCATAAGGCATAGGTGTGTAGAGGATGATGGCGATGGTGGCGATGAAGATGAAAGATCAATAGCAATGGCGGCCACCTTCTCATTGTCACTATCATCATCGGATGATCCACTAGATGAATCAATGTCCATGAGCCAATCACCGACAATGTAGGCCTTTCCACTCTTCTTCTTCTTGTGGAAGTCTCTCTTCTTGCCATCTCTCTTCTTGTATGGCTTGTTTTTCTTCTTTTCATCTTCTTCTTTATTGCTTGAGTCATCTTTCTTGCCCTTGAACTTGTTCTTGAACTTGTCTTTCTTGGGCTTGGTGCATTGGTGTGCTAGATGACTAAGTTCACCACAATTGAAGCAATCCATTTCGAAGATTGGTTTTCTCCTAGAGCTTGTGAAGAACTTCTTCTTCTTGCCATCGAACTTGATGCCACTCTTGTTTAGCTTCTTTAGCATTTTGGCGGCTTTCTTCACCATGAGAGCAAGATCTTCATCTCCATCTTCTTCATCACTTGAGCTCTCATACTCAAGTCTTGCTTTGCCCTTATCTTAGCTAGCTTTGAATGCTAAGTCTTTCTCTTTCTTCTTGGTAGAGGATGAGCCATCTTGTGGCGTGATGTGCATGTACATCTCATGAGCATTGATCTTTCCCAAGATTTGTGTCGGTGTAGTGGTGGAAAGATCACCTTGGTGTAGCACGATCACAATATGCCCATATTTGTCAATGGGGAGGACACTCAAGATCTTTCTCACAACATCGGATGGTGACATTTGAGTAAGTCCAAGCCCATTGATTCCTCTATAAGAACATTTAAACGTGAATACATCTCATTAGTATATTCTTTGGGAAGCATCTCAAATGAATTTAGCTTTTTAATTATAAGATGATAGCGTTCCTCACGCTCACTCTTGGTTCCCTCATGGAGCGCACAAACGTCCGACCATAGAGCATGGGCGTCTTTGTGGTTCCTTACGCGGTTGAACACATCTTTGCAAAGGCCTCTAAAGATGGTGTTTCGAGCCTTTGCATTCCACTTTTCATAATTAACCTCATCGCCTTGTAAGTGTGTAGTATCCTGAGGTTTTGGGAAGCCTTGTGAGGCGGCTCTAAGTATACCAACATCTAGAGCTTCTAAGTACGCCTCCATGCGGATTTTCCAATATGGAAAGTCATCTCCCTTAAAGATAGGAGGAGGTCCATCCCCGTAAGACATCTTGCTCTAAGCGATTAAGCTTAAAAACGTGAGAACCTAGCTCTGATACCAATTGAGAGGATCAAGATGCCCAAGAGGGGGGTGAATTGGGCTAATTCTAAATTTTATTGCAATAATTAAATCCTACGGTTAGCCCAATTAACCTCTTGTGCCTACAAAAGTGTTTCTAATAATCTAACGCACAAAGGACTTGCAACCTATGTTCCAAACTTACTCTAGCATGGTAATTCTATGAATGTAAGAACAAGTATTGAATTGCTCAAAGTAAATGCTCAAAGTAAATGCTCAAAGTAAATGCACAAAGTAAATTGAGAGAGAGGAACACGGTGATGTTTTATCGAGGTATCGGAGAGTCGCCACTCCCCACTATTCCTTGTTGGAGCACCCGCGCAAGGGTGTAGCTCCCCCTTGTTCCACGCAAGGATCAAGTGCTCTCTACGGGTTGATTCTTTGACACTCCGTCGCGGTGAATCACCCAAAACCGCTCACAACTTGAGTTGGGTCACCCACAAGCTCCGCTGGGTGATCACCAAGCTCCCAATCACCACCAAGCCGTCTAGGTGATGGCGATCACCAAGAGTAACAAGCACGAACTCTCACTTGACCACGCGAAGCCTAATGAGAACGGTGGATGCACACTTTGCTACTCTTGATTCACTAATGAGGCTACTCTCTTGGATTTTCAAATCTCAATCACCTCACTAGGACCTTACTCTTCTTGGCACTCACAAACATGTTTCTCAGCTATTGGAATGAGCAAAAGTACCCTTACACACGAGTGGAGGTTCTATTTATAAGGTAGCTTGAAAAACGAACCGTTATGAGCTTCTGCGGAGTGACCGGACGCTCCGGTCAGTTCAACCCGCACACCAGTGTTTAAGTGTTGACCGGACGCGTCCGGTCGCATTTTTTCCTCACTGGATGCTTACTGTACTCAACCGGACGCTGGATCCTTAGGGTCCGGTCAATATTGACCGGACGCGTCCAGTCGTAGATTTCCTTCTCTGGAACCTTACTGGAGTCGACCGGACGCTGGTCTTCAGCGTCCGGTCACTTGACCACTCAGCGTCCGGTCGCGTCGAACGCAGTCTCTTGATCAAATGAACTGACCGGACCCTGCGGCCAGTGTCTGGTCGCACCGGAGCCAGCGTTCGGTCAGTATTTGACCCTCCATTCACTTTCAACTCTTGATCATATGTGAATGAAGTTTGCTCCATAGGATCATAGGGCTGTTGTGGAGCTACCTAGTGCTAGTTTCAACAAGTGTGCACCACACCTAACTCACTAGACTCATCTAGGTCAAGCTACCCGTCCATACCCCCCTTAATAGTACGGCCAAAGGGAAAACAAAGTCCTAAACTACTCTAAGTGTCTCTCCAACTCCAATCGACACTTAGAACTAGTCATCCTTAATATTGTCGTCCATCATTTGAAAACCGAAACGATTTCCATCGTAGGGGCATGACCACCTTGATTGTCCAATTGATCTCCATTACCATGACCTAACTTAATTGTCTCTACAAAACACACGTTAGTCATAGTAATTTGTATTGTCATTAATCACCGAAACCCAACTAGGGACCTAGATGCTTTCACTGATCATATATGGGGGGTGTTTGAAGTTGTGTTCCATTAGGAGATAGATCAATTGATCGTCAGTATCCGGTATGACTCCACTATCAATGCTGCATTAGACGACTCGATCTGTTGATAGCGTGTCAGATCGGACATTGGCGATTAGTAGATCTATCTGTTATGAAGAGCATGGCGTCAATCACCCACTATGTCTCCATCGGCTATTTAGCCGATAGCCTGAGCTCTAACGCGTACGACATGCTTTCATGATTCTTTTGCGACGTAAGTAGATCTATCCATTGTTGGTCTCTGATCTAGGTCCTACCGTCAATGCTGCACTAGACGACTCGACTTGTTGGCGGTACAATAGATTGAGTCTAGTCGTTTGTAGATTTATTTGTATCCAACGGATGTGTGATTGTATGGCGTACGACATGATCACTGGAATCAACTATTCTAGCCGATAGCCCGCTTCGTTGAGGATGTACTAGCTATTTACATGCTTTTACTTGTCCTTCGCATGTTTTCATGATCATCGGCTAAGTTAGATCTATGTAACTAAGTAAATAATAATTGCCGATATGCCTGTTTTGTTTACATTACATCATGAACATGCTGGATCTAGTCGATAGCCTTATTGTGCTAGTCACTTGGGCGTATATTTGGAACTGTCTGGACAAACACCGGTATGTTCCACATTAAATTATTGATCAATTTTTCTCTCATTGTCAATTGCAGGATCAAGTTGACTGCCTAGCTCTCGGTCATGACCATCCGGTCCGGTGCCCCACCTTTTAAGTCCGGAGGGAGCTCGAGATCTGCTCCGCGCAGTTTCTCTCAGGCTTACTCACGTGTGGGCGGCTCCACGTCACCTTTGTCGTCGACAAGGATCTCTACTATTTCAATTGTTTGGGACCAGGACACATTAGGAAGGAGTGCACCCGATCGGTCAGGTGCAATCGCTGCTACAATTACGGTCACACTTCCTCTTTTTGTCTCTCCAAATTTCGTGCATAACGGCGTTACCGGGCTGTTCCCCGTTCCGAAGGCGAAGGGCCGCGCAAGGAGCATTTATACACCGCTGATCCTTCCACTCTCGAGCCCTTCGTCCCCCCAATCCCATCGTCACGCCGCCCACCTCTGAAAACCTCGGTGTCGCTCCCATGGAGAACTGGCCACTCGACCCTCTCCCGCATGTGCCGTCCGGCTTCACCCTGCAAGAACCGGCGGCACGTCCACCTCTTCGCCATGAAGTCTTCATCACGGGCTGCTACACACTGCAATGAAGACTTGGCGATTGTGAGAATGCAGCCACCGGTGCACAAGGATGACTTTGGTGAACTGAAGACTGCGCTCAGAACCTTCTTCCATGATATCCACCAGGTTCGCACTGTTGAAATCCAACCTTGTGCCCTCAGTGATGCTTACGTCAGATTCAATAGTGCTCTGGATAGAGAAAGATTTATTGGTCCAGTCTTTCGTTTTGGAAACTATGCCATGTCAGTGATTAAACATGATGAAGCTGAGAATGCACGTAGCTTTGATCTGGATAGAGAGGCTTGGGTTTTGTTGGTTGGGTGCCCAGAAGATCTTAAGGACTCGGTTGGCATAGCTAAGGCTGTTTCGGGTTTTGGCATTTTGGTACACTGGCATGAACCTGACAACCTTGCTAGAGTAGTTGCAAAAGTTTACCTGAATGATGATTCTAAAATCCCTGATTCAGTGAAAGTGAATGCTGGGCTTCCAGGCCCAACTAATCTCTGGCAGCAGCACCTGGCCCCCCAAGGTGAGTTTGTTAATCAGCCTGCCCCAACCGTGGCTGGACAATTTGTTGCAGGAGTTATCCTGGAAGCTACAGAGAATGTTGGTACTGAAGCTGCACATACAGTTGAGAAGATGACATAAAACAATGCAGGGAACATTGGGACCAGCTCTGTTCATGTGAACCCTGTGCCCAACCTTGTTCAGATTGCAGCAGCAACAGCTCCCAAACTCAAGTCTGTGATTGTTGGACCCTCAGCTGCATATGACCCCATCATTCCTGTGGTTCCCTCTCTCATTAAGCAGGTATCCAATTTTATATCCTTTAGTCCATCTCCTACTTCTCTCAGGCATCTCCATTTTAAATATTAACCATGATACTCTTGTGCCAAATTACTTCTCTGATAGAAATCTCCTTGTCCACCTTGCCTTTATCTTGTCTCCACAGCTTGGTGGACCTGCCCTGGAAAAGATAGCTCTGGACTACTTTGAGGAAGATGATGAAGAGCCTGAGATGGTGGCACAAGAAATAGAAGAGGAAGATGAGATGATGGCACAAGAGGAGGAGGAACCTAATATGGAGATGGAAGAAAAAGAGGACTCTGACCTGGAGATGCTGGATGGTCCACCCCCTATCTTCATGACTCCTAAGAAGAAGAGGGTGGTCAAGGTCAAGGAAAAGTTAGATGATGAATTCCTGAGGCGCAACAAGAGAGTCTCCCATAAGCTTGGTGGCTTCAAAGATGCTGACAGTGCCACGAAGCACAAGGAAGCTAAGGGAGAAAAGAAAAAGCCCAATGAACCAAAGAAGGCCATGAAGCCCAAGGGGACAAAAAAGACCAAGAAGTCAACTGGTGCAACTGCTGAAGCTGATGTTGATGAGCCTATTCCCCTTGCCATGATCCCTTCAGCGGGCACAGAGATTGCCCCACACCTCTCCAAGGAGGTCCTGGAAGGCATTGGGCAGGGCTTCCTGCAGATCCAGCCTACGGCTGTTTCTGCTACGCTTCTGGACAATGATGACCTCGATGATTAGTTCTCACTTGCAGTCTGTTGGTGCACCAGTCCTGAAGATGGTGCTTTATGCTTTTGCTTCCTTAGTTTGTTACTTTGACCAGTGCATGTACTGGCTAAATAAAAAGTTGTATGGCTGTATCAGGTGTCTCAGCACCATCAGGAGCTTTCCTGCAGACAATGTCCTTATGTCCTTTAATCTAAGTGGTGATTTTGCTTATATGTTGAGATTTTATCTGTTCTTATCTGCCTGCACTTTTCTCCTGGTTGTAAGATGCTTTTTATCCCACTCTCACTATGAAAAGATGGTTGTCTTGTTTGACACTTGGTTGTTCAAACCTGTCTCTCCTTCCCTTAATAGTGATAATGGATAGTAGCAACAATAATAGATTCAGTAAGATTCTTTTTTGGAATGTAAGAGGAATAAATTCTCAGGAGAAATGGGATGCAATAAAAGACAAAATGGGATGCAATAAATTCTCAGGAGAAATGTTGATTTTTTAGAACTTCGGGAGTAGTTCGCTACGGCCCCGCGTTGCCCCCACGCAGGCGACACGGGAGGCGACCCAAACCCTAGCCGCCTCTCTTCCTTCCCTCCCTCTCTCCAGCCACGCCGTCGTCGGAGCGGGCCGCCAGCATGGCCGTGCGGCTTGCCGGGAGGGCGGCGACGAGGCTCTTCTTCGCGATGGAAGCTGCGACGGTCGAGGACGAGCTCGCGTGCAGCGTCCTGGGGCTCGGTGAGGTCACTGTGGCTGGTGGCGGCGCCGGTGTCTTCAGCGGTGGTTTGGGGCGGTCTCCTCGCTTCGGCGACCGGATCCGGCAGTCCAAGGACCGGATTCGCACGGATCTCCGGCGAGCCGCGCCTGGGCGGGCGCTGGGCTACGGTGGCGGCGGCTCCTGTCCAAGACGCAGCGTAGTCGCCGGATCCGCGGGGTACGGCGCCCGTGGTGCGGGGCGCTGCGCTCAGGGGCGCGCGCGGTGGCGGCTGCGTCGGCCTGGGGCGGGCCTCTTCCTCTTCCTCGCGCTCGGCGGTGTTGGCGGCGTGTGGTATAGCGGGACGGTGGGGCGTGCCCTCGCGCGAGCCGCGTGGGGCTCGGCGGGCCAACCTGCTGCGGCTGCGGCGGCGCTGGCCAGTGCCCGTGCAGGCGCCGAGCGGTGGCGGGGGCTCCTTTTTCCTCCTCCGCTTCCCCCTTTCCTCCTCGACCTTGGCGTGGAGGCGGCGGCGCCTGCTGGGGACACTGGGTCTGGAGCCACTACCAGATCCGATGCCCCCGGGGCAGGGAGCAGCGCCCGTGGTGGGGCATGCGCCTAACGGTGGCTGGCGGAGGTCGGCAGCGTCGACGGCGGGTGCTTGAGCCGGCGACGGCTTCGGCGTGCGGCAGGGTGACGCGCGTGGCAGGTTAAGTCCAGTTCTGCATGTTGCCTGATCGGAGGGGGTGGCGGCCGACGCAGCTGTGCGGCTGCTGTGAGCAGCCGGCGCGTCGATGCCCCTCTGGAGAAGCTTCTGCGGGATGGCAGTGACGACGACGGTGGCGACAGGCTACGGTCCAGCATCTTGGCTAGACGTATGTGCTAGGGGCACCACGGGCGAAAGTCTTGGCGACGGCGACGCCTGTGGGCGCCGATTTCCTTGTTGGGGGCGTCGTGTTCTTGTGCCCCCAGCCATGTCTTCCACGGGTGAAAACCCGGTCCATTCCTGGACAAGCGACGGCGACACAATCGGCGTCGTACCCTTCCTGAAGGCGTCGCTGTGGAAATTCGTCTCGGCCGTGATGTCTCCTTCGGCGGATGTCCTCTGCCTCTCGGCGCCCGGTTGATGCGAGACGGCGAGTTCTGCATCGTGAAGTCGGAGCTGCTGCATCGGGGGATGTAGCTCGGCAACGATGACGCGTGTCGAACCCTCCTTCTCCGACGGCTGGGTTTTCAGCATTAGAGGCTCGGCAATCGCCGCGGGCGGGGCGTGGGATCAAGGCAGGAAGTCAGAGCTGCTCTTCGCGGAGCCGTTGAGCTCGGCAACGATGACCTGTTGCAGCCTCCTGCTTCGGGCCCGTTGGTCTGACATCTTAGGATGGGTCGTCGGTGTTTTGCTATAGGAAGTCGGAGCTGCTGGCTGCTTTGCAACTATGCTCGGCAACGATGACTCATGGTAGTGTGTACTCTACCGCGTTGCGTGGGTGGGTAACCTTTCGTGGTGTTTGGCGCCACGCTTGACTACCTTTGCTTGTATATAAACTTCATTCGTCTTAATTGAAAGGCAGAGCTCCTGCCATTGTTTCAAAAAAAAAATTAATGAAAGTGCCTGCCAAGTGCTCTGCTTACAAGAAACTAAAAGAGAAACCTTTGACAGTTTCTACATTAAGAAATTTTGCCCAAGAAACTTGGATCAATTTGCCTACTTCCCTTTTGTTGGTGCTTCTGGAGGCCTCCTCACTATGCGGAATAGTAGTCTTTTTGATGGTACTATTGTTTAGTCTAACTCATATGCTATTACTGTCAAACTCTTATGCAGACCTGACAATAAAGCTTTTTTTGTCACCAACATTTATGGCCCTGCCAACTCTTCAGAGAAACAAGGTTTTGTCACCTGGCTCATGAATCTTGATACTGCTGACTATGAGGATTGGGTTTTACGGGGATTTCAATCTTATCAGAAGCCCAGATAACAAAAATAAGCCTAGTGGAGACACTACTGAAATGAATCTTTTTAATGAGGTCATCTCTGATCTAGACTTGGTTGAAATACCCTTCAGTGGCAGAAATTACACATGGTCTAACATGCAAGATGACCCTCTTTTGGTGAAGCTAGATTAGATCTTCACATCTTCAAGTTGGACCCTCTCCTTTCCTGCAACTTTTGTGCAGCCTCTGACAAGACCAATTTCTGACCATATACCATATGTTTTGCACATTGGAACTTGCATCCCTAAATCCAAAATATTCAGATTTAAAAAAATTTGGGTTGACCATCTTGGTTTTGCTGATACAGTTAAGCTTCACTAGAATAATTCTTCTTTCTTTGCCAATGCAGCTAGACACCTGTCAGTCAAATTCAAACAAGTTAGAACAGGTCTCAGGAATTGGAGCAAGAACTTGTCAAACTTGAGCAAACTCATCTATAATTGTAACTGGATCTTACTTCTGTTAGATGGCCTTGAGGATCAAAGAAGCCTCTCTAGGCTTGAATCAGCTTTTAGAAGGCTAGTCAAGCATCACCTATCCAACCTCTTGGAGTCAAAAAGAGCTTACTGGAAACAAAGAAATTCTGTGAGATGGGTGAAACTTGGAGATGAAAATACCCACTTTTTTCAAACAATGGCAACTATTGCTCATAAAAGAAACTTGATTGTTGCTCTTTCAGACAGAGAAGGGAACTCAATAACACATCATGAACAAAAGGCTAACCTGCTCTGGAATGCCTTTAAACAAAGAATGGGGGTTAGTGAATTTTCTGGTATAAACTATAATCTTAGTGATCTGTTGCTGTCACATGACCTAGAAGGCCTAGACACAGATTTTACTCAGGAAGAGATTGAGATGGTCATCAGATGTTTGCCCAACAACCATGCACCTGGGCCAGATGGTTCCAATGGACTATTCATTAAAAAATGTTGGAATATAGTCAAAGATGATTTCATCAGAATGTTCAGAGATTTCTGTAGTCAGAACATTGACTTAAGGAGCATTAATTCTTCTGTCATAGCTCTCATACCAAAAAAGGACAATCCTGAATCAGTCAATGACTACAGACCAATTTCACTCTTAAATTACTCACTGAAATGCATCACTAAGATTCTTTCAGCAAGACTTCAGAGGGTGATACTGCAAATTGTCCACACCAACCAGTATGGTTTCATTAAGGGGAGGACTATACAGGATTGCCTAGCTTAGTCTTTCCAATTCCTACACCTCTGTCACCACTCCAAAAAAGAAATTGTCATCCTGAAATTAGATTTTGAAAAAGGCCTTTGACAAATTGGAGCATTAGGTAATTCTGGAGGTCCTCAAACATAAAGGCTTTTCAGACAAATGGGTCAACTGGATACAAAACCTTCTCAGCATAGGAAGCTCTTCTGTCCTTTTAAATGGCATCCCAGGGAAATCCTTCAACTGCAAAAGAGGTGTTAGACAAGGTGATCCTTTATCCCCTCTTCTCTTTGTTCTTGCTGCTAACCTGCTTCAAACAGTGGTCAATAGAGCATGGCATGCTGGTATCCTCAAACACCCTCTTAGTGACAGCTTTCAAGATGATTATCCTATTGTTCAATATGTTGATGACACCCTCCTAATATTACCTGGTGATGCTAGGGTGCTCTTTAACCTGAAAGAACTCCTGAGACCCTTTTCTGATTCCACTGGACTGCATGTAAACTTTGCCAAATCTTATTTGGTACCCATCAATATGAGTACTGACAGAGCTGCCCATCTGGCTAACACCTTTGGGTGTCAGGTAGGAGAGATGCCCTTCACCTACCTAGGCTTGCCTCTTGGAACTACAAAACCCACCATCACTGAATTTGCCCCATTGCTTACCAGAATTAAAAGAAGATTGTCTGGAATCAGCAAATTTTTATCCTATAATGGAAGACTCATCCTGGTCAATTCAGTCTTCTCAGCACTCCCTACCTTCTATATGTGCAGCTTGAAACTTCCACCCCAGGTTACTAAGCAAATTGACATCTTCAGGAAACATTCTTTGTGGAGCAGAGGTGATATAAACAGAAAAGGTAACTGCTTAGCTGCTTGGGACACAGCTTGTAAACCAAAAGACCAGGGTGGCTTGGGAATCATTGATATTCAAAGTCATAATGATGCTTTACTCATGAAATTTTTGGATAAATTCTATAATAATGCTGATATTCCCTGGGTCACTCTCACTTGGACCAGATTCTACTCTAATGAGCAAACTCCACCCCAAGCAAGAAGCCCTGTGGGGTCCTTTTGGTGGAAAGATATTATGAAACTCTTTGGAAAATATCAAAATCTTGCTTCTTGCTATCCTAACAGAGCCAATTCTGTGATGTTTTAGGCTAACATCTAGGTTGATCAGGCCATGAAAGATAAGTTCCCACAGCTCTTCTCCTTTACCAGGAAACCCAAATGTTCTGTTAGATTTTTTCTCAGTCAGCAGATGGACAGATTATTCAATCCCCTTCCTCTACCTCAGCTAGCTGCCTCACAACTTGAAGAAGTTCACCATATCTTGCAGACCAGAAATTGGGATGAATCTTTAAGTGATTCCTGGGCTTACAATTGGGCCTCCTCAAAGTAAAGTAGCAAGAAAGCCTATAATACTCTGATTGGCACTACTCCGGCCTCTCCTCTTTTGAAATGGATATGGAACTCAAACAACTTGGGTAATCACAAGTTCTTTTTTTGGCTGCTTTTGAGGGACAAATTAAACACAAGAAACCTCTTAAGAAGGAAAAACATGTATCTCGAAGATTACAGCTGTGTTCTATGTAACCAGGGATGTGAAGAAACATGTTTCCATCTTTTCTTTGAATGTCCTTTTAGTAGGGACTGCTGGGCCTCCATTCAAATCATTTGGAACCTGAACCTCAGCCCTCTGGATATGATTTTGCAAGCTAGAGCAGACTTTAACAGTGTTATCTTCAGGGAAATAATCATCACTGCTAGCTGGGTGATTTGGAACACAAGAAATAAGATCATCTTTGATAATGGGCAGAGAAATATACATACGTGGAAGAGACAATTCAGAGCTGAGCTTGGGTTGTTGTGCACCAAGGCCAAGCCTTCTAGAAGTGCATTACTTAGTGCTTGGAGAGATCATTTTTTGTAATTATCTTCTTTTTATTTTTTTGGGCCTAGAAGCCTTGTTTTTTTCAGTTTTGTTCTGCTCCTTTGTACATAGCTATTCTTTCGTTTAATGGAAAATAAAAAAAATTATAGGTAGGGGGCTCTCCTATTGATTCGGTCAAAAAAAATCTGAGAACAAATCTAAGAAATAGAGTGGGATATGAGGAACTCAAATAAAATATTTATAGATCGTGAATATATCTCTAGAACCTTCCAAAAGTTATATTAGCATATAGGAAATGTGAAAATATTAGAAAATTGAAAAAATTCCAAAATAGTCTAATCTATGTCTAAATTTGTTTTAAAAACTTTTATAAAAAATGAGAATCAACCAACAAAAAGCAATATATATTTAATACTAAATTTACTTGTGCTAGTTGCATCTCATTTTTTTTTTTGTTATATAGAAAGTTTTACAAACGTGTTTAGACATCGATTAGATGTTTTGGGACATTTTGAAAATTTTTGGATATTTTCTCCATTATTCTAGAGCTAAATCTATTTCTTGAAGCTTTGGAAATGCTTTCACGAGCTCTAAATATTTGATTTAGGTTCATGTGCCAATCTATCTCTAGGATATTCTCATAATTTTTAAACTTAAGAGACATTTCTGGGTTTAAGAACCTTTAAGATATTTACCGGATTTTATTAACTAAAACCAGAGTAGAGAGGTAGTTTTAACGTTTTTGATAGATGAAGTGGTAAAATGTATTAAATTTTGGCTCGATTGAATAGAACTAATTTTGTGTCATAAACCAAACACACATCAAAACCGTAATATCTAAGAGGTCGTGTTTGATAGAATAAAATTGCATACTCTCTCCATAAAAAAAACACAATTGTAGCTAGCGAAATTACCAAAATACCCTTGTGTATAGTTAATTGACCTGTGCAGGAACATTCAGGAAGATAGGAATGCGTGGAGGAGAGAGCACCAGGGATGGGTACCATAAGCTAATATGGCAGCCTTTGCTATAGGATTGTATTTTTTTTATAAAATTTGAATGGTAAAATTATATATTATATATTTATTTTTAAGACGGAGGGAGTAGACCCAGTGTTCAATTCTATCATATGAACTCTACTTTTGATGGACGACAGTGACATCTCAAAATTTATTTGTGTTTGGTACACCTCAGTATATATGGATTGAGGTAGAAAATCAACTAGTTTTGTATCCTATTTCACCTTAATATATATAATGTGAATTAGGATGAATTATAATGCAACCAAATAATTAGACCATAGTTTATCCTGGATACATCACTTTTTAGGATCTGTTTGGATCCACCAATACTGAACACTACTACATTAGCTAGCTAATAGCTACTAATTTTGAGCTAGTTAATTTTTAACAATAGGCTGTTTAGATCCACCTACTAATAAGTGGTTGGATAGTGATTTGAAGGTGTATATGAATTATTAGCATGTATTAGCAACTTCAAACCTGCTAATGAAACTAATAGTTATAGCAGCCCTTCATCAGCTAATAATTTGCAAGTTTATTAGCAGCCCTTCTTTTATGCTATACTCCCTCCGGTCTATTTTATCTGGCGTAAGTTAGAATGACACGGTCTTCTAGATTGCACTTTGGCCATTCATTTGTTTTTATATTATATTATGTATGGTTATAAACTTATAATCATTGGATAGTATAATTCCTTACGAATCTAATCATATAAAGTTTATGTTATAATAGTTAAAAATTATTAGCTTAATTATTGGTCAAAATTTTTAAAGTTTAAATCTTAATTGGACCACTAATAAATAATGGATCCATATCGGTCCTCAATGGCTTTTGCGCACGTGGAAACGTCTGGCGCACAACGGCACATGTCACGCAATCCAACTGTATTCCTATTCGAGTACACATGGCACAAACCTCGTATCGCACGCACCGTTAATAACGCATGCGGCCGCCGCTGGGCTGCCACGAATAGAATAGGGATAGCAGGCACGGGCACCGCCGCGAGGCTCGCGGCGAACCGAACGAGGTGGAGGGGAGCTTCTGACCCGCAGAGCAAGCAAAGACAACAAGCGCAGCCCAGCCCAGCGTCCCCGCGCACGCACGCACGCGCCGAGGCCGAGGCGAGGTGGCCGTGGCCCCGCCGGACCCATGGGGGGCTGCTATTCCGCCTTCGCCTGCTCGCGGAAGCTGCGCGGCCGCATCTCCTTCGTCCTCCCCGTCACCGAGCGCGACCGCGACGACCGCTCCAGCGACGGCGGCGCCAGCTCCGTCGCCTCCACGTCCCCGTCCCCGTCCCCGCGCAAGAACGACGCTGACGCCGGGCCGCTGGTGGTCCGGACCACCGCGGCTGAGTTCGCGCGCCGCTACGTGCTGGGCCGGGAGCTGGGGCGCGGCGAGTTCGGTGTCACGCGCCGCTGCCGGGACGCCGCCACGGGGGAGGCACTCGCGTGCAAGACCATCCGGAGGCACCGCCGGCCCCGCGGCGGCGGCGGCGGTGCCGGCGTCCGCCGCCTGCGGGCCGGAGACGGGGCCGGGAACGCCGCCGGTCCCCACGGACCGGCCGGAGCGCCCCCGGCGGCGGCCGGGCAGCAGGACGCGGCGGCGGCGGCGCACGCGGCGGACGTGCAGCGGGAGGTGGCCATCATGCGGCGCATGTCGTCCCGCGGCGGCGCGGCCGTGGTGCGGCTCCGCGAGGCGTGCTGCGAGGACGCCGGCGGCGGCGCGGTGCACCTCGTCATGGAGCTCTGCGAGGGCGGGGAGCTGTTCGACCGCATCGTCGCGCGTGGCCACTACTCGGAGCGCGCCGCGGCGGGCGTGTTCGGCACCATCGTCGACGTCGTGCGGCTGTGCCACTCCAACGGGGTCATCCACAGGGACCTCAAGCCCGAGAACTTCCTGTTCGCCAACAAGTCGGAGGACTCCCCGCTCAAGGTCATCGACTTCGGCCTCTCCGTCTTCTTCAGCCCCGGCGATCGGTTCACGGAGGTGGTGGGGAGCGCGTACTACATGGCGCCGGAGGTGCTGAAGCGGAACTACGGGCCGGAGGTGGACATCTGGAGCGCCGGCGTCATCCTCTACATCCTCCTCTGCGGCGTCCCGCCATTCTGGGGAGGTAGGCCGTAGGCGGCGTGCATGCTTTCACTTCGTCCTCCGATCCGGTTCTGATCTGAACAATGCATGCCATGCATGCAGACAACGACGAGAAGATCGCGCAGGCGGTCCTCCGCGGCGTCATCGACTTCAACCGGGAGCCATGGCCGAGGGTGTCCGCCAACGCCAAGGACCTCATCCGCCGGATGCTCGACCCCGACCCCTCCACCCGCCTCACGGCGAGGCAGGTGCTTGGTAAGCCACCGATCGTCCTAGCCTCCGGTGGATGCAGAGAATGCGCGGCACTGATGCTGTTGGGGCGCTTGCAATTGCAATGGCATGCAGAGCACCCGTGGCTGAAGAACGCGGACACGGCGCCGAACGTGTCGCTGGGCGAGGCCGTGCGCGCCCGGCTGCAGCAGTTCTCCGCCATGAACAAGTTCAAGAAGAAGGCGCTGGGCGTGGTGGCGCGGAACCTGCCGGTGGAGGAGCTGGACAAGTACGTGCAGATGTTCCACCTCATGGACAAGGACCACAACGGCAACCTCACGCTGGAGGAGCTCATGGAGGGCCTCCACATCAACGGCCAGCACGTCCCGGAGTCGGAGATCAGGATGCTCCTCGAGGCCGTGAGTGCTTTGCTTGGTCGCTTCCTTCCTCGATCGTCGCCGGCTCGCCGCCGCCGCTCGTCTTTTCATTCTCAGACCGGATGACGGACATGCATCCCTGCAGGCCGACACGGACGGCAACGGCACGCTGGACTGCGACGAATTCGTGACGGTGTCGCTGCACCTCAAGAAGATGAGCAACGACGAGTACCTGGCGTCGGCGTTCAGGTACTTCGACAAGGACGGCAGCGGCTTCATCGAGCCGGAGGAGCTGAGGGAGGAGCTGGGCCCCAACGACCAGGCCATCCTCGACATCATCCGCGACGTCGACACCGACCAGGACGGCCGCATCAGCTACCAGGAGTTCGAGCTCATGATGAAGTCCGGCACCGACTGGAGGAACGGCTCCCGCCAGTACTCCAGGGCCAACTTCAGCAGCCTCAGCCGCAAGCTCTGCAAGGACATGTCGTGACGATCGCGATTCGCAGATACTCTAGCCACCACCAACATCTACGATCCACGGGCTCGGCGCTTCTTGATTAGAACTGCGGTGCAAAAGGGAAAAACGCGTGCATGTACGGCTGCTGCTGCCCATCTGACAGAAAATCATTTTCAATTCGTTGGGTAATTAGAACTGCATTTACAATTTCAAATTCAAAAATTACAAAAGAACGAGTGCACAACGGGCGCAGCGCACAATTTCGATTTCAGAAGCTGAAGCAAAGCTGAGAACGGATTTGCAAACTGAAACCTGTAGAAAACTTGTAAAACCGACCGACACCCGTTTCAGCGTTTCTTGATCATCATATCTAACGCCTGGTTTCCTACATCAAGCCCTTGTATGGTGGCCAACAGCCACTTTCAAACATTTCACCCCTAACCGATAAGCATACGAGTTTATTCAAATGAATAACAACTTCAGCCAACTTTTCAAACAATTTCTCCCCAGCCTATGAGCAAGTTTAAATGAAATCCAAAGTTTCCTATTACTCCAGGAATGGATGGGTAAAAGAGGTGAGCATACGGTAGAGGTGACACCGTGACAGTATATGGGAAAACATATATCACGCGATGTTCGGCTTTGAAGTAATATTGACCAGCACTAGCAGATGGCAAAGTAACCATAGTTTATAAGTCCTTGAATAATAGACAAAAGCCCTGCCCGCAATTACGAGGGAATAAACAGAGCTACCTCCCATTAGATTCGTACAGATTGGTCAGATGCAAAACCCACCACATAACACACAGGTTACCACTTCACATCTAATATTTACAAGGTACAACAGAAACGAACTAGAAAACCAAATGACCCCCCCACCCCACCCCACACACACACATGTAACCATTGCCTCCACTCCGTTTCCAACCATTTGAGGCCCTTAAATAACTCTCTGTACACCATTGCTGCTGCTGGAAGCTCAGCATCTGATGCTGGATCTAAAGCGCCCCTCTTCTCATGAACTTTGAGCTTTTCTTGGGGTGCCTCCCTTTGAACTATTCCATCATCTAGTACCTACACTTTTCGCAGACGCTGCACACATCCACTGAGGGAGGGTTAAGAAATGTGCAACGCTCGCAGGGCCACCCATCATCAGTGTGGTCAGATGATGGCTTAGTGTGCTGCTTCTTCTTGGATTTAGTTCCTCCTTTCTTGGAGCTGGTGGCAGCGCTGGATGTACCAGCAGCCTGGGCAGTGGCGCGGACATCCTCCAACCCAGCTTCCAAAGCTTGAACAAGGTTCTCAAAGTAATTCCGGGTAACGCTGCAGTAAACAAAGCTCACTGGTAAAATTAGAATAATGATGGAAGACTCCAGGACATCCTTCTATGATGTAGGGTCCACAAAAACAAGCAAAAAACAGAGCAAGCTTGAACAAGGTTCTCAAAGTAATTCTGGGTAACGCTGCAGTAAACAAAGCTCACTGGTAAAATTAGAATGATGGAAGACTCCAGGACATCCTTCTATGATGTAGGGTCCACAAAAACAAGCAAAAAACAGAGCATAACTGAAATTATGGAGCGAATCATGCTAAATGACATTTTAGACATACTAAATCACTTGTTTCTGCCTATTTGTTTTGTTAAAACATCATGCTTTAGAGATCAGAGGTAGTAGTCATATCAACAAAAAGGTGGACAGCATGGTGAATTTACTACCTTGTGAGCCCAGCAAGCTTCACGCGGAATTCACTAAATTCATCCAGTGTAGGTGCCGTCGTTTCAGTGCTGTCAGATTTCACAGAAGGCAAAAAATTTTGCAAGTCTTTCTCAGCGCACTGATGCAGACGTTCCAAGCCAGACTCAGCCTCACCTGTCAAATACATAGAATTCACTGATGTTCCAAGAGTTCCCACAAGCAATTATAAACCCAGTAATAATGTCAACATGAAATAGAAATAACAAACCTTGCAGATACTCAAAAAATTCACTCTTGACCTTATCATCCAGATAGTAGCCATAAGCATATGTCCATTTCAGCACTCGCCTGCATTCTATAATCTGATGTACAATAGAGTGGTGAAAGCATCTGATATAAGAACATTTGTAAATCATAAAACCCATTGAAACCATAATATAAAATTTATGATGGCAAACCTGTGACCAAGCTTCAATTATGAACTTAAGCTGGGTCTCTGGTATCCCGAAAATATCAGTTAAATTTGCAAGCTGTGGCACAGAGGAACAGGGAAAAAGCATTATAGTTGGTCCATCATGGAAGAAGAGTTAGGGCAAGCAAGACTAAAATATAGTCTATCACAGAAGAATATTAGAAACCAGCTAATACAGAAAAGAATGACAAGCAGAGAAACTTCTACATGGCACGCTGTGAGAGCCCTTAAGGCCCATAACATGATTTATTTTCTCACCTGATCCTTTTCCGCTTTTAGCAGATCTGCTTGGGCCTTCTGCCTCGACTGCAATAAAGGCAAACATGAGAACAGAAATTAATGTGCACAGTTCAAAATATACATTATGAAATGAAAGCATCTAAATACTCAAGCATAAAAATGCACCGGAGATCAAGAACATCAGGAATAAAAATATATCGTTGACTGCCTATAAGCATATTGGTAGCCATGAAATAATCAGATAATGCATGTACAAAAGGCAACGCGATTATTTTTTGACTGAGGAAATAATCACGAAACAAACCCTCGAACAACCTCAAAGCATATTTGGTTAAGACATTACTCTTCTTATTTGGTTAAGACATTACTCTTCTTATGCACAACCAACATAATACTGAAATGGGTATCCCACCAAGAAGGCAAGAACTATAGCTGGCATTATATTATAGAGTAGCAGCACAACAAAAGAGAAGGTTCAAACATTACATTATGAGCACAAAACAGATGTATTTTGAAAATTATGTACATCGAACTAAGGTACTTGAACGTACTGTCTGATTGGATGCCCAGCGTTCATAGTAATGCATATATCTCTCAAGAGAGTTCTTAGCTCTTTCCCTCCTTGCTTCAGTCTCATCATACTGCAACAGAAGCAATTTAAGTTCAAGAAGAAAACATTCTTGGAAATCAAAAGAACATAGCATCCAGCACCACAGAAAATCACAACATCCCAAAGATGAGCTGCTGTTCACCCACCAAACAGAGGCTTCTAATCCCTTTGTAGCAGTAGTGGCAGAAATAATATTACAATTATACTTGGGTTCTACAAAAGGATTTCTCTGAAATGCATGAAATAAAGAGAAGACATACAACTCCCTCTTTCTTTGCTGATTCATAACGATTGCAAGCATAAAAGCCACCTGTTCTCTCTCCATGATCTGACCATGCGCCTAGACATAACCTAGAATGTCCAAAGAACCTCAGACAAAAGAAGATAAACATGGCATGTATATTAATTCTTTCAAGCAGTGAGTGAACTATACCAGCAAAATTCGAATTTGCAAGGAGGGGTGCATGTCATATGCATGCATCCCTGGTTTTTCTCTATTGGCCGTTTGCACTTTGGACAGGGCTTAGAATTAGCCAGTATCCTGAAAAGATGAACACAACATAATAAACCTTTTCATGCAATTTGGAGTGCCATAAGGAATAAAATAAAAACAATCACAATTATCAGCTAAACACATTGACACACTATCTCTATCTGAATGAAATGTGAATCTAGTGCAGGTAATGCAAAGTTTAAGTTGAACAGCATCTTGGTTGCTTGTGCCTAGTTAGGGCTTTTTTCAAGAAAAAAACAAGGCAAATAGATGAAAATTAAATCAATCCAAAACCTCTATAATCCACTTAAATCAAACTAGCTATCCTCATCATCTTCTTAATATAATGATACGCAACTCTCCTACATGTTCAGAGAGAAAAAAATCTAGCTATCCTCAATCTACAGCAGCAGTAACAACAAAGCCTATTAATCCCAAGCAAGTTACAGTAAAAAAAAACTATCTTAAAACTATATTAGAATTACTAGGATATTTTTCATAGTTGATGACACCTATGATTCAACCTCACAGAAATATTTGTCGTGGCTTCCCCACCCACTTCCAAGTCAACTTAAATTGCTTAAAAAATGGTAATAAAAGCCTGTGAACCTGAACAACTAACTTTAGGCACAATTTTTTTCACCATCTCACTTATTGTCAGCAGTCAAGGTGAATAGTTCCAGGACTGTGACATTTACATTGTTGAATAAATTGCTAAAAGTTTGGTGAAATAGGATATGAAGCTCCAACCACATAGGAACTAGTTATCACTGTGCTTAGTCTGAACTGATAAATGGCACATTACAAAACAAATAATCAAAATCAGAAAGTAGAAAGTTGAAATAGGTTGTATCTTCCAAAAAATTTAAAGGAACTCCTTATCTATATGCCCTGTCTTAACTAAAATATAGTATCAACAAAAACCGAAACTTGAAAACCACATCAAACGCTAGTGTTGAACCTGCAACGAACCAGTTCATGTTTTCAGATTCTGCACTGTTCTTTAATATCCACTTAGAAACAGTCTCACAGTTCACTGGTCGATGAGCTTCCTCAGTGCACTGCAAACAAGAGTAATGGATATTGATGAAGCCTTAGATGCTTGATCCCTAGGACTCGTGAAAACAAAAACATAAAATCATTAGAAGAATGGAACCATCATACATTCCAGCAAAATCTGAACTTGCAATTGCACGAGACATCATAGTTTTCATCACTAAGAAACTCCACAGCACATGTACAGTCAGGAGCTGGACACCATTTAGTCTGCATGAAATGAGGTTTCACAATTGAGTTTACGGTGAGAGAACATGATGCCAAAGCAGTGTAAAAACAAGGCAGGCCCAAAGAACTGTGAAATTGGAGAATCGGTCAAATTGTTAAAACCTATTACCTTCTTGCTACCTTCAACATATGCACGTAAGAGAAATCGTGCATATTTTTCTTTATCCTCATCTTTAGCTAATTCATTAATCATCCCTTGAAGAACCATAGCACTACATGATGGATCAGGACATCTCAATGACAAACATCCTGGACCACCACCTATTGCAGCGCTAATGTAGCCTACAAAATTTAAATTGATCCATCAGAAATCCCCCCTTTATTAGGAGGGAGATAGTCACGTACAAGGGAAAACAGGATAGTCATACGACGAATGTTACCAGCAGAAGCAATACTTTAACATATAGAAGGCACCAGAAAAACCTGATGTTTATGTCATTCATATTGACATTAGGAAATTTACTCTGATGTGTCTAATGTAGTTCTATGGCGTTACAGAAGAAAACAGAAAAAGTTTATACTACATTTAGATTTCTGGGTAATATACAAAATTAGACATGATCTGCTTCAATATCATTCTATCTTATGTAGAATATATAGAGGCATGCATAATACTAAACATTTAGTATTATCACAATCAAAGGATCACAAAACATGCTTGTGGGTAGTCAAGTTAAAACATAAATTTGACCAGTCAAACAATGACAACAGAACCTAATCATGCAAGCATAAAGAGCAATAACAAGGGAGAGGAAGGAAGGGAGACCTTCCCAACATTCATGGCAATAAAAATGAGCACAACCAGCGGAGCTCATCATATCAGAAGAATACCCTTCAAAACATATTCCACAAGTTAGCTGCAACCAAAAAGATTGTTAGAAGAAATTATGAATATATGCCAGAGCCAAAGGTTCTACCATATTACACATGCTGCTTTGATGGAAAAAAAAGCATAAAAATATGAAATATAAATCTTGCCTTCCTAGAGTGAGGCTCATGATTTCCATTCAAAAGTAAGCCAACAGTATGGCGGACTTTTTCTTCATCTGCAAACCATTCGTCACTCAACTTGCTGATGTTCCTGCATAGTGAATACAGAACACACAGGGTGCAGATGTACATTAGTTCCACTTCCACACCATCTAGCAATAAGAAAATGTCAGTGCATTGCTTCTAGTGCAGATTTAGTTTTATCATTCTAAATATATCCAAGTGCATAAAGTGTGCACTAGCTTTTGCGAACAACCAAAAACAGGGAAAATTAGTAGGATCAAACTGAAGGTAGCAGTTTTCTTGATATCTCATGTATAGACGCAAACATATGGAAAAATAGAAAATCATTGCCATGATTAGCATATGGTACATATCATGCAATGTCCTTTCCAGAGTATTTTGAGAGAATATTTACAGGTTCTATCTCGAGCTTGATAGAGGTATTTTCAACAATAAAAAGGCAGGGCTGCCAGCACCTTGGGAAGTAATTAAAAACAAGAAACAACATAGTGACCTACACATACTGCGGTATGATACTGTGTTCAAAGATATAGACATGAGTACCTGATTTCAGTGACTGTGTACTAACATACAGTATAATACGGATAAATGCCATTACATTACAAGGTTGTTAAGAGTTTGCTGCCTTCAGAAAAGAATATTTGATGGAGCACTGACATAACAAACTCACCATTTGTAGTGGTGCAGGAGGGCACACGCCTCTTCCCTTGTGATCAACAACACGGCAGATACCTTGCTTACATCTTCCTCTTGACGCTCAGATATAACTTCTTCGTTTAAAACCACAAATGTCTGTTAATAGCAAATGCAACTCTCCTTTTAGCAAAACTCAAGAGTATCACATGGAGCAAAAATATGGGCAGAAGAGCAAAGCAACACAAAGAGACCAAGCGTGATCACTCATCTAGGATGCTTGACAGAGCCTACAAGAGGCGGTACATCACTCATCTAGGACCGTGATACTAACAGTTGATTAAGAAGCAAAGGAAGCTCATGCAGTGCTACTTTTAAGCCCAATTCAGCCCACACAAATCAATACTCAGATTAAGAAACAAAGGAAGCTGCTGCGGTGCTACTTTTAAGCCAAATTCAGACCACACAATGACACAAACCAATACTCAGCGGTGCATATAAAGCAGGCATCAGCAGCCACAGCACTGAAATGATCATCAATTTGCAACAGGCCACCAGTTCTAATAAAAGTCTATGAACCGATCTAACATTCCACTGATTTAAGAATGAATTGATCTAACCCGCTACCACTCTAGTGCTCTGGTACATCACTACCACTCTAGCGCTGCAGTACATCGTTATCGTTACCACTCTAGTGCTCCAGTACATGCACTGATCGCAAAAATCCCCAGCTCACTGACATGTCACATATCACATGAAAATCCCCAGCTCACTGACATCACATATCACTAAAAAATCGCTACCACTATAGTGCTCATGCACTGATCGCCCAAATCCCCAGGTTACTGGCATATCACATATGAAAATCCCCAGCTCACTGACATATTACACATCACTAAAAAACCATTCCATTCCGGCAGGAGCACGCAAGCTTTTCAGCCTATTCCAACACACCCGAACTCAAACCCCAAGGATTCCGGAGATAACTAAACATTCTAAGCACCGCACACGGCCCTATCCGCCTCATGCTCGCAGCATCGGCCTCACCTGCTCGCGCCTAGACACCACCTCGTCGGTCCCCTCGGCCTCGATGCCCTCGTCGTAGTCCCCGGCCACCAGCTCCTCCTCCTCGCTCCCGCCGTCGTCGTCGCCCATGTCGCTGTCGCAGTAGTCGTAGTAGTCCTCGTCGTCCATCACCTCCTCGTCGCTGGCGGCGTTCATCTCCACATCGGAGTCCATCCGGCCGCGGCACGAATCCGGCGATCAGGAGATCGGGGGGGCGGGGCGGGGAGGCTAGGGTTACGGCGGGCCTGGGAGGGAGAGGCCAAGAGGGGGGAATGGAATGGGGAGGGGGGGAGAGAGAGAGAGAGAGAGAGAGAGAGAGAGAGGTGGGCGGAGATCGGCAGAGAGAGTTGCGTGCCCGAGTCGGCACCCTAATGGTGGGGTTCGCCCAAAGGTTTCCTACCTTGCCTTGTCTTCGTATCTGCAACTGCCACTGCTAATCATCTAGGCTTCCTGCATTCGCGTCCTCGTCGTCGATGAGTTCGCATCTCCCTGCCCCCATCTTTCAACGGATCCGTGGTGTCGAGCGCATGGAGGGCCTCGTTCGTCGCGGCCGTCTCCGCGCGGACCTCAGCCGAGGAGTGGCCGCTGCCCGGCAAGGAGGATCTGTCGTCGCCGCCCGACGGCTACGTGGTGTCATTCACGCACTTCCATGAGCACGGGTTCGCTACCCCCGTCCACAAATTTCTTCGGGGGCTGCTGCACTACTACAAGATTGAGTTACAGCACCTCAATCCTGTCAGGTCGACACATGGCGGCGTTCGTCATCTGCTGGAGGGATTCCTAGGATCACTTACTTTGATCTCTGGAGGTACTTCTTCGCCATCATCCTCCAGAAGAAGAGGGAGAAAAGCGACAGGCAGGAGCTGCACATGCCGATGGGGTGCGCCGACATCCAACTCCGGAATAATCGGGTCGGCGAGTACCCGTCGATGTGGCTGTCGACATTCAACAAGGGGTGGCACTCGCAGTGGTTCTACCTCAAGAATGACGTCGCTGCCGGACGCCTGATCGAAGAGGCCCCGGAGTCATGGAGGAAGTGGGGCGTCCCGGAGAAGGACAAGAAGAAAATCCGGGACCACATCGTCGCCATCCAGATCCTCAAGGAGAAAGGCTTGAAGGGGTCGGACGTCATTGGGACCTACCACGCAAGGAGGGTGGCGCCGTTGATGACGCGCGCACTTCCGCTTTATGCGATGGCGCCCGAGGCGTCGTTTGACGGAACGGTGCTCGTCGAGGGGGCGCTTCCTAACTCCGAGATCGCGCAACGGATCAAGGAGGCGATGGAGCCCTCGCGGGACGATGCGGGTGCCCCCCTCGATTTTGTCTTCCCGGTGCCGAGGCATCCTCCGATGCGGCTGGAATCAGGCCACGTCGTCTTCGTAAGTTCCCCCTCCTTATACCTCCTTTTCAATTGACTTCCTGACCTCTTGGTACTAACTTTGAGGGAGACGGGACTAGCCGAGGGACCTCATCTTTACGGATCATCTGGCTTCGTTGCCGAGGGATTCGTCTATGAGGGCGACGAATCGCGCCGAGGACGAGCGGCTAAGGAAAGCGAAGGATGACAAGAGGAGGAAAACGCAGCAGAAGCTGCAAGTGAGGGAACAGGGGAGGACACCGATAGCGATGACGACGACGATGATGGCGACGATGACGAGGTAGCCGATGATGTCGAGTGGGGCATCCTGGAGAACGAAGATGAGCTGACAGGTAGTGGTTCGCCCTTATAGGAGTCAGGACCCTTTCCGTTCCACGGAGGGGAGGGTATGTCCGGAGAGCCGGCGGAGGTGGGACGTACCGTCGGCCTCCCTCAGGTGTCAACATGGGCGGGCGGCTCTGCCGCCCCGCCTGATTTGCCGGCGGAGGCGGGCGGCACTACTACTGCGCCCCAAGAGTCAAGGGGAGTGAGCCCCTCTACCCAGGAGCAGGGGGCGGGCTCGAAGCGGCCTCGCCCTGACGAGGTGGACCAGAGGTCGGGGGGTTCGCCCCCCAAACGTATATGCCGCCCGATGGCGTTGAGGTAAGTTATCAATTCCCCTGCTTCCTTTTATTTGGGGTGGATTTCATCGTGATCTATGTTTTTCGTTTCTTGCAGCGTCGGGAGGCAACGTATTCCTTTGGCACTAGCGCCAAAGAAGAGCGTTGCCCTCCAAGTGAGGCGGTAGTCGTCGGTTGGTGCCACGCCTGTTTCGAGTGGGAGCGGCGCCACTGTGACCGCGCCTCCAGCTGGACAGGCGCTGCCCACGGTGGTGCCCATGCCCTCGGTGGGATGGGCAGACATGGGGGCCCAAGGGGCACCTTCGGAGGTCACCGAGCAGCCCGCAAGGGTGGTGACACCGTTGCCAACGACGGGGCGGATGGGGCTACCGACCGCGCTCGTGGCGCTGACCGCGGTGGGTACGACACAACTAGTTGTGACCCCACCAATGTAGGTGGAGGTGGCGGTGGCTCTGATAGGCGGGTCACAACCGGGCGCTATCGTAGTGGCGCCTGAGGTACCGGTGCGACCCGCGCCGTCGGCATCCCAGGCAACAGAGTCTGGCGTGGGCCGGACGGAGGGGGACGCAACCGAGGGGTCCCCAGACGTCATGGTGCTAGGAGAGAGGTCGGTGCTGTACCGCTGACCCCTTCCATCGCCGGAGGGGGCATCCTGGTGGGAACATCGCGGCGAGAGGGCTCGACGGTGCTTGAGCCGACGAGGAGTCGTCTCTAGCCCTGACGTCGATGGGCCGTGACTCACTTGCATGGGGCGAGCCTCCACTCTGATGGACAAATCCGCAGGACCCAGCATCGACGCTCTTCACCCTTGATGACGCCGCCGAGAGTATGGAGTGGGAGAACCTCGATGTGGGAGTCGTGTACATGCTCGAAGCCCTAGACCATGCCCGGGGTGCCTTGGCCGACGTTGTCGTTCCTGCTAGGACGGGTATTTGCTTGATCTTGCTTCTTGTCCTTTCCTTGCTCCGCATATTTTTGTATTCTGACTATCTTGTTCTTTTAGTCCCTCATCGCTCGTAGCCGGGAGAAGTCTCAGTTCCTTCATGAGCAAAAGGAAATCTAGGACCGCCTCATCGAGGAGGTACGACTATGCGGGGAGGTGACCGCTCAGCTTGTTGTTGTCCAGCAGAGGGTGGCCTAGCTGACCCCCTCGCTGAGGAGGCAAACAGTCTTCGATCACGGGCGGTCGAGGCCTGTCGGCACTCCGATGAGACCGAGAGGGCGTTCAAGGCCCTGTCGGCGAGATTGCACCGGGATGACGAGGAGGCCGCCAAGGTCAAGAAGGAGCGGGACAAGCTGCTCTAGAAGGACGCCAAGACCCACCAGCGGATCCTCGACCTTCTAGCCGAGGTTCAGCGGGAAAGGGAGCTAGGGCCGAGGAGAAGCTCATGGCCTTGGAGAAGAGGACGAGTCTAGATGCCGAGACGGTCGCCCAGTTGCGCAAGGAGCGCGATGAGCTGCTCCAAACCTCAAAGAGGCTCCACGCAGAACATGGCGCGGCTCATGAGGAGCGCGACCAGGCCTTCTAAGAGCGGGACTAGGCCTGCCAAGAGCGCGACGACGCGTAGCAGAAGGCCAGAACAGCGATGTCCCAGAAGCTGAAGGCCGAAAGCATTTCAGCTGGGCTAGCCATGGACCTCGCCGAGGCAAGAAGGAATCTTCAGGTGGAGAGTGATGAGCTCGGTATCCTGAGCGCCGCCCTTGGAGTGGTCTGTGACGACCTTGAGGTGGTGCGGTCGGAGGGGACCAGCTCGCTCGCGGCCCGTGCTGTTAAGATCACAGCTCAGGTGCGCCAGCTCAAGAGGAATGCCCTTCACACTGAGGTGAATCAATCCTTCATGATTGGTCGTTCTCATTATGGGGACATCATCAACTTGGAGATGATGAGCCACGGCTTCGCGCCTGGCTATGAAGCCCATGACCTAGAGGAGATGGAGACGGCGATGGCTCCCCTTTCGCAGGACCTGGCGGATAGAATAGAGAGCATAGTTCTCCCCCGAAGGGCTTAGTTAGTCAAATAGGTTGGGCAATCATTCTTGTAACAAGCAGACGATCTTCGACCCCTTTGTACTATCTGAACAAACTTATCATTTTGTTTCGTTTGATCGAATTTGTTTTTCCTCCCTTTTTATGTGTGAAAAGGGGTTCATGTGTTCTGACCCTTCCATTTGTTAAGACCGTAGGGCCCGAGGTGTAGGAGGGAAACTCTGATCACGCTGGTAAGCCAGAGTGCCATAGCCGCTGGGGCGTAGGTTTCTTGCGGTCCGACCAGCTTTGCTCAGTCATTCGTTTCCGTAGACCTTGCCACTAGTTTTAACGTGAGGAAGAGGATAGGTGTGGTGACTGTTTCAAAAAGGGTGTATTTATACCCTTATCAGCCCTCGAGTGAGATCCGACCCCTTGTTGCTGGGGTCGGGTGTCACTAAAGATCGAGGAGAGGATAGCAAAATTAGTAGGAGAAAACGTCTCTTGTTTTCGCACGTACCCCCTCCCTAGGTTCTAAGCCATCGTTCTGTGACCCCACGTTTGGTCTCCTTATGAGTCCAACTTGTCTTGAGCCCCTGCGCATAGCAGGGGTCCAGTCGAGGGTTGTCTCATCTTTGTGATCGTTGTCCCTTCCATGGTTTCCGCAACCGGAAGGGTTGAGCTAATGTCACTTGCCTCGATGGCTCGAGTGACGCGCTCGGTGAGCTCGCTAACGGGCATGTTCGAGTGGAATCCGGGTCCATCGTTTGTGACGGGGTCGGCATGGCCCTTGTGTGGCATTCCACTGCTCCTTAACCTACCTCCCAACAGATGCCCAAGCTGTTCTAGAGAGTGGCTCCGGTGACTCGATGGCCTCCCTCAGCGGGGATTCTACGGGCTTGGCTCAAGGTTATGGTTGAACGAGAAGATTGAGATGACCCTGTCCGCTTCCAAGTGGGTCGGGCGAAGGCCGCTGAGTTTCATCTGCTTTTCCCCCTGGCTCTGTTTGACGCGAGGCGGCCTCGGGCCCTTTGTGGGCCGACCTTGGAACCCTGGTCTCCCTATTTCGGGTCGGGCGGCTCGAGCCCTCGAGCCCCATGGGGGTCGTTAGGGGTCGGCCAGATTTTCATGTGTCACCCCGTCCTCGGTTTCCGTAATTGGAGGGGCTGAGCTAACGACACTTGCCTCGATGGCTCGAGTGTCACGCTTGG